ACGAAATATCTATATTTATTAAATCAATACAATACAAAATAAAAATAATAATAATTACAGATATAACACTACAACAATAATCATAATTCCCTTAAAGTGGCAGCTGTGATGGACTCTCTCTATGTACACATCAAAGTTCCACGTACACATACGCACAGTCTAATCCAAAAAGGGCATTGTGGTATGTATGTATTCCATTGAAGGATTTTTAATCATATACATTCGATAATCTTTAGATATACACTGGAAATTAAAACGCATACACACACGCACCTCGACTGAAAGAAGGATAAGGGATAGACGAGACAGACAACTGTTGACAGCTTGTACGGAGGAGGATTTAGAATTTCGATAGACAGATCTGATATACTGAGATGAATGGATAGATAGAACGAGACTGATATAGAGAGCCCGCCACGGCCTTCACACATTACCCAAACACATATACTTTGGGGCGCTAGGTTACCACAGCGAGACACAAATTCGCCATGGAGCGCAAACACTTAAAAAAAAAATAAGAAATTGGTCCTTTTTTCTTCTTTCCTTCGTCGGGAAGAAAAGCTTCTCACATTTCTTCGTCGGGAATTCTTTTTTTCCCTTCGTCAGGCTCTCACGGAAAGCTCTTTACTTCGATCTGAATTTCTTTTTCTCTCTCTTTCCTTCTGATTTAGATTCTTCTCTTTGCTTCTGGGGGAGGGCGTGAGGGAGGCGAGGAAGGACGGAAGGATGGAAGGAGGGGGATGGGAGGAGAGACGATGACCAAGAGAGAGAGAGGGAGGGAGAGGCGTGAACGGCAAGGAAAGGCGTTTGTGCACTTCGACGCATTCTTCACCTCCGCCTTCGCTGTGGAGAGCAGGACGGCGGTCTACCCTATGCTTGTGCGCCTCTGTGCATGCATGCGAGAGCCGGAAACGAGACGAAACAGTGCGGGTGCGCGCGCGCGCTTCATATCACAGACGAGATGAAGGGGACCAGCCCCCTCTTGCAGCTCCTTCGGGGTGGGGGAAGTCTGGCGACGTCGTGACACCCCGAGGGCTGCTCTTTGCTAGTGTGTGCTAAGCCACTCGCCAGGAAGAGAGGGAGGCGAGAGGGAGGGAAGGGGCGAGTGGCGGCTTAAAAGCCCTTCTCACGGGACACGGAACAGTGCGTTCCGCGCCTAGTGAATGGGTGGAGGATGGAGGGGGAGAGGAAGGGGGAGGAAGAGGGGAGAGGGAAGGGATATGCGGGGCCTTGCTCTGCACTGACCGGAAGGGAGGAGGAGGAGGAAGGCCGCTTGTCTTCCCGCTCCCCCTTTCCCATGAAACCCTGCGTCGCCTGAAAAGAGGGGGGGGGGGATTTCTGGTTTCTCCTTTTCTTTTCTTTTCGTTAAATTCTTGGTCGTTGTGACTCGAGCTGAGGGCTGAAGCTGGAAACGGCTCCCCGCGCCCTCTTGGCGACGAGGGGGGGGGGGGGCGACCTAGACATTGACCTCCTCCTGGTAGCGCTCGGTGATGAAGGCCGCGGTGTCCGTGAGGTTGGAGAGGCAGGTGTGGAGGCCGAGGAGGTGTGTGCGGAGGTTGTTGGTGAGCGCGGCCGCAGTCAGCTCGGGCGCCATGTCCTCCGCCTCCACGCCTGAGTCGCCGCCCTCGCTGCCGTCGCAGCCGCCCTCGCTGTCGCCGTCCGAGGCGTTCGACGACACGGAGATCATGGACAGCGTGCTCTGCCGCCGCATGTGGCCCTTCACGTGCCCGGACGACGACGACGACGACGACGTGGTGCTGGCGGCACTGCTGACGGCGACTGGGTCGGACCACCGCGTGTTATTGGTCGTGCTGGTGCTGTTTTCATTGTCGTCGTCGTCGTTGGAAGTGGGGCCCCAAATCAGGTCGTTCTTGACAGAGTTGAGCACCGAGTAGAAGCTGTAGGGGTTGCCGCCGGTGCGCAGCAGCACGGGCACCTTGTCGCTGCTCTTCTTGTTCTCGACCTCCATGTCTAGCAACCTGCGGGTTAGAGAGAGAAGGCATGAGTCTTTCGGTGCAAGAAGGGGGCAGGAAGGGGACCGGGATAGGGAGGAGGGGAGAGAGAGGAAATAATAGGAGAAGAGAAAGGATGAGGAAGAAAAGATAGAAACAAAAAAGTTTGACGTGGCCACCAGTTAAAGCATCTTCGAATGCCAACAAACAAACAAAAAGAGAGAAAGCAACTTCTGAATCAACTTTCATACTCTCAACTCCTCATTAAAAACGCGCGCGCACGCACGCACACACAAACACACACACACACAAAGCTTCTCCCTCCTCTCTCTCCCCTGACCACACGTTCCGCTAGCTTGATGATAATGGCCTCTTTAAAAGTGATGAAACTAGGACATGAGGAAAAGGTGGTGGGGTCATGAGGGAAGGAGGGGACGAGGGGGGGGGGGGTTAGAGAGTATTTAGAGAGGATTGGCGAGAGGGAGAGAGACAAAAGGGTGAGAAGAGAAAGTGGAAGAGAAACAAGGTGCTGTGACGCGGTGAAAGAATAAGTGAGAAAGAAATGTATAGAGAAATATAGATTGGTAAATAAAAGGAACAACATGAAAAAAGCGCTCAACAACAGACACGAACGGACAGCATGGAGAGAACGGGAGGGAGAGAGAGAGAATGAGCCCACCCAAACAAAACAAAAATCCAAGAATATTACAACAAGAACAACAAAATCAAGAGGGTCTCACCTGCATGGCACCATGACAGTCTCGTTCATGTTGTTGACCGCCTTGACGAAGCGGTCCATGGCGCACAGAATCGACTGCGACGAGAAGTCCGACAGCTCGTCGTGTTTGTTCATCCTCACGCTGCAAACAAACAAACAAACAAACGGTTAGTTCATAAAGCAGGCTTTAATGAATGCTCAGAAGATACAGACAATGACTTATTAGGTTCGACTTTTGGGAAACGCCCAGAGGACATAAACAAACGGTATCTACTGGATAGGCTTGCTTCAATGGGGAAGGAAACCCGAGGCCCATCCAACAAACAAACACACTAAATGACCTGGCTCCAATGGGACCGCGAGAAGGGCCTCCCGATGAAGAAAATCCGGGTTTGTAATTTTTTCGTGAGGCGAACTATCATATACATAACAGATGACGAATTACGAGAAAGGAATCAGTAAGAAAAAAAAAAAAAAAAAACGTCACAAATAAATAACATCGCCATCAATCGACATCTCAATAGGCAATAAATAACCCGTTATAAGAAGAAACTGCTAAAGCGAACAGAAGAAAAATGAGGGCACGAGCAGCAGAGAAAACAAGAGTTCGAATGAACGCGGGTGAACGAGCCAATCACAACGCCCACGCTACCAACACCTGCACCCAAAGGCACTTGCCTCCGCCTGTCAGCGCCCGTGCCAACAACACTGCACGTTCCAATTGGCGTCACTTATGCAATACTGTACTTGGATGCTGCTGACGCCAATCCTTTCATTCCTGCGATCCCTGCAACTTCCCTTTCCTAAACGCCATCCTTCGTGTCGCCATAATCTTCTCTCCCTTCTACTCGGTGCTTCACAAAAGGCATTCCTGGGCAACGAATGCCATCCCACGAGGCAATTTATTTCCCGTCGGCGTTGATCCCTCGCGTAATGCAGGTGGGAGGGCGGAGTTGAAGCCAGAGACACTTGGAATGTGAGAGGCGAGGGGGAGAAGGGAAGGGAGGGGGGGAATAGAAAAGGGGAGGAGAAGAAAGAAAATCGGAGGAGGGAAGAGAGGAAGATTGAGAGAGAGAGAGAGAGAGAGAGAGAGAGAGAGAGAGAGAGAGAGAGAGAGAGAGAGAGAGAGAGAGAGAGAGAGAGAGAGAGAGAGAGAGAGATGAAGAATAAAGAACGGAGGGGAGAGAAGGGAGCAGTGGAAAATTAGAAAGGAGAAAGGGGAAAGAGACTGATAACATTTGAAAAGAAAGCAAAGGGGGGACTTCAGCCTCCGAGCGTACATAGGCGTGGCAGAGAAAGGCGAGATTCGTCGAGGGTCACACAAGAGGCCGTGGAATATAGGTAAGTGTGCGTAGGTACTTGTGTACGTGAGGAGCGCCATGCGACGGCGTGCATGTGCTACGGGTCTGACGTCATCGTTTCTTGCCCGCGACTGAAGGTTCCTAGAATCCCGGGTCGGCCTGCGCCTGGTTCGCATTCCCTTCCACGGCCGATGCTGGGTGACGGTGATCCGTGAGCCGAATCACGTCCCCAAGAGAGGCGTCGCGTGTGGGTGTTGCGAGGACGGACAAAGCAACGTTCCTCGGGCAGGGAGCGAGTGCATGGCGCCCCCTCCTCCCTCCCCTCCCTCCCCACCCAGCCTCCGCGTTCTGGCTGCTGCTCTTTCGCACACGCCTCCCAGATACTCTATTTACCTTCTGTTAACACACAATCGACTCTGCTATGTGAGAGCACTGTTTGCAAACAAATAAGGGCAGTTTCCAAACCAAGAGAGGTTTCGGTAGCAACAACAACTTTCACAAAGGCTCCTCGAAAAACCTTGGTCTGCTCTCTCTCTCTCTCTCTCTCTCTCTCTCTCTCTCTCTCTCTCTCTCTCTCTCTCTCTCTCTCTCAATAACACCGCACCCTTTTACTCTCTCCCTCACTCAGAGTCACAAAATCACTCACCTTCTCCCTCACTCACCCAGTCATTCCTCATCCCCGCACTCAGGCGTACTTTCAATATGCATCTTTTCATCTCCTCGATCACACACGAACGCAAAGCCACGGACGCTGCAACATCTATCCACTCAAGAAGAAATATGAGATCTTGCAACGCGTTTCAGTCTTAAAAAGTTTTCGTAATTATCTCACCTGTTGTCATCAAGGGCGCTGTGGCAGTAAGTGTCCACGGAATCGTACAACATTTTGTAGGCGGTGTGATATATGCTCCGTTGTTGAGGATTATCGCTCTCTTTCTTTCACTCAGAAAGAACACACGTGCGAGGGGAACACACAAGAGATGTTATGCTTTGCACTTGGGAGTAATCCCTTTTCAAGATCACTGGTGA